CTATTCATTTTTTAATTTAATTAGTGATTTAATATTTGGAAAAACTGTATTTATATACATCAAGTGTTATCCACTACAGGATTAAAAAAAAATATATATTTGAATTGCAATGGATTAATAGAAAGCATTTTATTAACAATTGAAAATTTGAACAAGATATATATGACATGTTTTGGAGGCAGAATCAGTCTTAATTTTTAAAAAGGTCTGTATTAATTCTCGACATATTCTGACGCTAAGAGCAGAGAGAAAAAGCACGCCACAGTGAAAAACAAAGTGGGTTACCACTTAAACGTAGATGTGATAAGTATCGCGGATTTTATGAGTGTACTTGAAAGTTAATGCTGACATATAGGGCTATTAAATATAATGATCTGGAATCAGAAAATGTTTAAGGGTTAAGTCATCTGTTTCGGAGAAATAATTGGGTGATTAATGTGATACTTGAAGATGTAATAAAAAATAAGAGTTAAATGCCAGATAGGGAATTAATTTTTAATCTAATTTAATTCTAATTATATATATATATATATATATATATATGGAGAGAGTAAGGGTGAATAGAGTAGGAATTGAAAAAATATCTAAAATCACTGAATACAAATATGAAAAACAAATCGACCAGCCGGAAATGAAAAACTTATAAAGTAAATTGATTCTAAGAGAAATATTCGGGGATTAGAATATGATTATTTGCTTTTCTTGCATATTTTGCACAGGTAGCATGATTCGATAAGAATTAAAAGTTAAATTTGTTTTTGTTGTTTTTTCACTATACTTTTTCCTAAGCTGACTTAGATTTGAGAAATATAACGAACTATATTATGAAACAATAAATTCCTTACTTGAAATAAGAATCATAAATTGAATTTTTCTCTTGGTAATCTTAAAGGGGCTTTAGGTCATCTTTCTTGTTTCTAACTATACTTATCGATATTTTCAACAGAGAAAAATAATGTCAGGATATATAAGTAAGATTAACAAAATTTCTACATACATTTTAAAATAACTTTTCTAATTCCATGTTTGCATTTAAGCTTTTTGATCATCGGAAAATCCATTTTAAAAGTGTTATCTTTGAGACAGCCTAAGATCGAATGATTTAAAATATACAACAAAAGTGAGAGAGAGAAAAGAAGAAGCTTTCTGAATTACAATCAAATTAATATTTTTTTCAGTCGCAACTATCTGTTAAATGCACGAATGGTTAAAATAATGTTTCATCTCAATTGAGAAAATGAAGAGTAAGGGACCACGTATTCCTATTAAGCAGCTTTGCGAATTTAGATTACTCAGCAAATTAGTAATGTGACTGCGAAGCGTCTAAATGAATCCTTGTTAATCAGTTAGCGACGAGTTGACAATTGAAAGATTTTAGAGTTTTTAGCGACAGAGCATCGGTGAAACAAGTCTGATTGCTTTATTCCTCATATAAAATTAAACAGGATTTTTTTCCCTTAAAAAATATTCATAACAAAAATGATTACTTAGATTATTTCTTAATTGAAATGCATAAATAACATTGATTTCATACAAGGTGTATAAAGTTGAAAAATGTGTTTATCATTTTTAAGTTTTATAGCAAAAATAATTTAATGATACAATTTTAATTCAAAATAAAAAAAATTAAAACATTTTCCTTTGAGGAAACAGTATATTTTCTGTATGTGTTGAATTATCTATTGATATTCTACCCACAAAAAAATTGAGAGTATTTGTTTTAGATCTTGAGAGAAAACCATTTTGTAACAACGCATATAATCATCGCAAATACACACACACATACCATATGTATACATATATACAGCCAGATCTCGATTTAAAGAATTCATCTGGACTGAATTCGGGGATATTCGTTTTATCTGGGTTAAAGAATGCAGAATTTTTTTGCATTTATATTTTGAAAATTTTATTATAAGTAGCAACACACAAAAATGTACATAGTTAAAGATTCCACACTGTTTATTCAGCTGCTAAAAATACTATTAGTGAATTATTGCGCACTAGTTAATAAAAAATTTTGAAATACTGACAAATGGATGTCTCACAATCTTTTTGATTCCTGTTTAGAAAGAGTTTTTTTTTCTATTTTATGCAGAGCACACAGAATTCTGCGTGATTTATATCCTACTGCATGAAATAATATGTTTTCACTGTTTCCAAATAATTTTAAGCATTGGAAAATGTAACAATTTGATGGGAATTTCATTATCAATACCTGCATTTAAATTGCAATCCATTGGTTCCGACAAATGAACAGTTTCGTCGACTGCAGTTACGCAGATAGACAGTCAGTCATCAAGTGTAACAGGATCGTTATAATCTATCCCAGGAATGACTTTCTTAAATATGACATGCAAAACGTACTTATACTATATCTCAATTCTCACAAGAAAGAAAGAAAATGTTAAAAAATCTTAAAATATCCCCTGCGTTGTAGAGATAAATGATACAAAAAAAAGAAGGAATTTTCTGTTCTCTCACAATAGGTTGCATTATTGACTCATCTGGACCTGGAGAGTCTAATAATGGGCTGCAACCTTTTCCGTTAAAGTTTATTGTTTACAAGAAAATTCTTCATCTGCTATTGCCAAAATGTTATATATCATTTGAAAAGATATATACACTTTTCTTATCTCTCAAATTCAAACCAATAACCAAAAAAATTCTCATGTGTGTAATAAATCCTTAATTTGGAGTTTATTATGCGTTAAATAGATATTTTTGGCTTCATTTTAATTGTGAATTA